CGAGAATCTGCTCCTGATACCCCCCTACCACCATCAACAGCACCTCTGCTACACACTCCATCCCCAGCGGCAACATTATGCTGTCCTTGATGTTTTATCATTAGTTTGGGAGTGTGTGGTCCCCCACTGCTGCCTTTTGATGGAGTGCAGACAGTAAAGGCATGGAAACAGCCAATTTCCCTTGCTGCAGTTCTCCCACAGCAAGGGGTCGTGCTATCTTCCCTCTGCACCAGAGCCGGGAAAATATTCCCCTGATGAGCCGGGCTGAAAGTTCTCCTTAGTGCTGTTGCATTCCTGAATTGCCCTTCATTTTGTCTCCCTGATTATTTTGTTGGAGGTTAGCGACAGGTGTAATAAGTGCTCTGCGAAGCAGAGAGGATGCTGTTCGGACTCTGCGGTGTTGCAGCGGGAAAATAAAGCCCTTTAATTTACTGGCTGGGTTAATAATTGAGACTCTGGAAAGTCATAATAAATTTTATGTCAATACCAGACACTATTATTCCTTATTTGCTGCTAGATATTTAAAAAAAATGATGCTTATGATAAAATATGTTGTGACAGTGAGATATTAGGAATTTCCATGATTTTGGGGGAATGTTTTGCCCATCACATTACTATTGCTCCATGAAATGTTGGATACTCTCTTTCCCCAGCAGTCAAATCCTAGATGCATTATATAATATATATCTATAATATATAGGTTAGAAATTGTAAGTCGCTTTGGATAAAAGCGTCTCCTAAATGAATAAACATAAATATATTGTAATTTCTATGAGGTTTAATGATTCTGTGGTCAATATAAAATGTGTTTATGGAGTTCTTTGCACTAAGTCACTCTCACATAAAGTGATTTCAGCAGTTTTATTTTGGACATTTTCAGTACCTTCCAGAATGAGCCTTTCTCAGGGCTCTGTCACTGTAAAGGTGTAGACCACTGAAAATACATTTTAAATATTATTTCAGATTATAAGTGGTTACTCTGAGTTTTTCATGCAGGCTGAACATGGAAATGGTCTCCTACACCTACCTCCTGCATTAGCTTCTGATAGAAAATAGACAAGGAAATGGTAGGATTTGAAAAGTCAGACAGATCTACATCATACTGTCACTTAACACTCATGGACTCACCAATTTTAGCTCACAACAGGAAAGACTGTTATTGGTTTAGCATCCAGGAAACAGCAGAACACGTCTAGAAGCTAACCGTTAGCATGAGCAACTCCAGAAAATGGCAAAACTCCTTCAGATTTGTGTTATTTGTGGAGATAAAACATCAATGTTGTAGAGCAAATGAAGTCAGTGGAAGAGTCATGATACTGTTATCCAGTCTGAGGCGAAATGTCCAAATATGAGGAAAGAAGAGCCCACATCCTGCTGTCTGAAGATATTTTCTCTTCCAGCTGAATTCTCCGCGCTGATAATGGTGCTTCAGTTTTTTTCCCTGTGTATGACTTACAAGGCATTCATTCCTACTAGACCACTGCAAATGTATTATTAAACGAGTGTTCAACACCTTTAACCCTTTGATGCATGAATTATGAAATCTTCAGCCATGATTTTTTTAACAATTTTTTTCATTCATCTTTAGGTGTGAATGAAACAAATTTCAACAAATATTTTTTGTAAAATTTTATAATTTACAAATAATTTATTACAGGTCCACCTTAGTGGACCACGTGCATTCTGAACATGAAATATGTTGGCTTGACTTACTGAAGTCCAAATGGAGGGGCTCAAATACAATAAAGTCTTCAACAGCTGTGCTTAATAGCAAAAACAAATAAATAACAATTTTGAGTACCTGTCCACTGTAGTGACCATTATGCACCAAAGGGTTAAGAAAAGAAGCTGAAGCTGGCCAAGTCCACCCACCCCGCTCAGGCTGCTATAAGCTGAGAAACTCCGATATCCGGGAGGGGCTCAGTGTAGTGTTGCAGCGCTTGCCCATGAGATGTGGTTCTAATCTAATTTCCTCATTTGTGACATCACAAGTGGGACTTGTTGCAAAGGCTTGTTTAAGGCACATATTCCTAAAACCAAATACTGTCAGAAAATGGGTGGACGTGTTTTTTCATGTTTAAAGTGTTTATAGAGGCAGTAGAGACCCACATGGCAGCACACAAGGTGAGTTTTGCATAATATGTCCCCTTTAAAAATAAAAAGTAAGTATTCTGAAGCAAACATAGCCAAATGTCTCAATTTTTCTGGATAGATCTACATCCTAAAATGGAATTTTGTTTCCTAAACTTAAACATTGGTTAAAATCACAAATTGTCAAGGTTAAGTGACAGAAAGTACACCTGACAGGAATTAACCTCTAAAAGGAAGGTCAATCATGGTTTATGTTCTACTATTATTTCCTCTCATCTGCAAAGACAATCCGTTGGTGCAATTAAAGGAAACACATGGAGTTTTGTTGGTTTTTTTTTTTTTTTTTTTTGCTGATAAACAATGGAAAATATAACATGCTGTGTTTGAAACATTCTGTCAGTTTTTACCTCAGGTCACTCTTTATGCTTTAACAACCCCCCCCCACCCACCCCCAAAGTCTTTTTAAAAACAAATGTCTGGTACACAGATGAACATTAAAATGTGCAATTTTTTCATCCTGTTCAACTACTGGCTTCTTCTTCAAGAAACCCCCGATTTGTGTATTTCTAGTGAAAGTAAATAAATAAACAGAGCCTGTAAATGTCTTTCAGATTTTAGATCTGTTTCCACCAAGTAAAAGAAGAGATAGTTGATATTTAGTATAAAAGATAATTTTTCGTTTCTAGATGGTGTTTATTTGCTAATATTGTGAAAGGTAAAAAAAAACCTTTAGATTAGGATATGGAATAAATTCCTATTATGTTTATGTTTATTTATTTGACAGACACTTTTATCCAAAGCGACTAACAATTTATAACCTATAGGGCATGTTGTGATCTGTGGGGGAAACCGGAGTACCCGGAGGAAACCCACGCATGCATGGGGAGAACACGCAACTCCACGCAGAAAGGCCGCAGTCGAGATTCGAACCTGCAACCTTCGTGCTGCGAGGCAACAGCGCTAACAACTGCGCCACCATGCAGCATTGCAGTATTAATGATCGGATTGGTCAATATCTATTTATCACACTAGAAAACAAATTACTATTTTTGTCAGTCTTTCATGTACTCCGGTACTTTTAAGTGCGATTTGAGGATATCAGAATATTTTTTGTGATTTTAAAGATTTAAACATGTCAAACATGATTTACCTGTTTTTACAAATAAAAGAGGTTCATTTTAAACTAAATTCTTTAAGCATTTGAGAACAAAAAACTCAAAACAGGCATCAAATATAAATTCTCTGACTTTCTCTGCTTGTTTTAAATATGGCTTTATTTCAGAATAAGCAATAAAAAGAAAATATAAAGAGTTGTTTTATGTCAGTGAAAATTTAAGCATCCTTCAAAGAAAAAGACCAAACAGTAAAACAGACATCATCTATTCTCGAAAAATTTTATTCTTTATACCCTCTGTAGCAATTTATTGCGCAGAGATCGATTAATTTAGTCTACTAAGATATGTGTGTGTTTGGTCTTGACTTTCTCTTCTGGTTCTGGAGCACTTCTTGTGGAGGACTGAAACAAATGTCACAGGCATGGTGTTTAAAGAGACAGTGTAGTTTTTACCATTAATCTCTGGAAATATCAGTCGAAATGTTGTTGAAAATGAATGAAATGAGGCCCAGTTGTTAAAAGACAATGGAGGTTTTGTAACGTTTAGCCATACAAATCAGGTCCAAAATATATGGGGGTGGGTTTAAGTCGCTGGGCGATGACATATTAGATGCAATGTTTCCTTCTACGGGAGCCCGTGAGGACAAAATGCATTTAGTGATTCGTAACAAATGGTTCCAAAACTTTTGCCATTCATTAACGTTGTCGTTTTACACGTTTACCTCTTCACTCGCTGCAAGTGATGAAAGGGAGTCTAATGTTCTTGTCATTTTGCTGGAGGTTGCACTCCCAGGGATTTTTGACCCTAATGGCCATCCATTGGTTAGGGCTCACTTGAATACAATTTTTTTTTTAAATATGCTTGCTTAGTTATGTACTGCCCCCTATCGCCAGGGAAAATACACATTGTCACTTTAAAGAAAATCTACGTTAATTTGCTTATGTCTGAGATTAGAGCATTATGCTCCAGCAGGTGGCGCTGGTGATGCAGCTCTAACAGATTGGTGGTTTCCACCCACATTGCCTCAGCTATATTATCAGCGCAGCTACTACATTAACTAGCCAAAATATGCTCCCTTATATAATGTTTCTATTTTTTTTTTCTTGTTTGGTACACCCATTATTTCTACTTTTATCAGCCATGTATCATATCACCTACAGCAGCAGTTAGCTGCACGTCCGTCTGGCTGCTACTGCGCTGTGTGGCGCTGTTCTTTGTACTGATGCTCTGTCGACCTGTTCTCGTAAGTCTATCGATGAAAAGCTATTTTGAAATATATGTTGCTATCGTTCCATCGCCCAGCCTATACTCTACCCCTGAAAATAATCTTAAATGCAAAGTTGTGGTTTGCTCTTGGCTTTAATTAATGACTAAACATTTACAGGTCACTATAAGTATAAAATATAAAATTTGGGAAGTAAAAATTTCCCTTTTTTTTAAACAAGCTCGACTTTTTTTCACAAACATTTTTTATTTACTTTTCATTGCTTTATACGGTAATTTTCTAAGATATTTGCAATAAAACACAGACAACAACAGTGCACTGTTTAAACAATGCTCTTTAAAATGTTCTCACGTGGAATTTGTTTACACTTCCAAAACTTAAAACAACGCTAAGCCATTATTTTAAGGGCACACAGCTACTGACATGCACTTAACTCACAGTAGACTCAACAGGTGCATGGTTTGCTTTTTATAGTGCAGTTTCTCATCTTCAATGACGTTGTCACTTTCTTTACTCTTGCCTTTATTTCTTATACATGTTCTTTATTTTTTCCCACTCTTTTCATCTAGATGCTCCCACTACTATCCCCACACCCACCACCAACCCAGTCAGCACGCAAGGTACTGTATTCCCCCACTACTGTCCCTCTCAGAGCGCGCATGTGTGTGTGTGTGTGTGTGTGTGTGTTGTGGTGTAATCTATATTGATATACTTGCATATGCCACTAGGGGGCAGTACTTATTGGCTAGGGAGAAATGTGTGGTATGTGAACAGCTCGAGGAGGCTTAAATAAAAGGTGATTGTTGCTCCACATTATCGCTTGAGTGGAGTTTATTCAAGAGCCCAACACAACATGTGTGTGTGTGTGTGTGTGTGTGTGTGTGTGTGTGTGTGTGTGTGTGTGTGTGTGTGTGTGTGTGTGTGTGTGTGTGTGTGTGTGTGTGTGTGTGTGTGTGTGTGTGTGTGTGTGTGTGCGTGTGCGTGTGCATGGGTTCAGGGAGAACTTGCACCTACCGTGAACAGAAGCCATGGCTAGCCGGTTTAAACGAGATAGCTCTGTTGATAATCGCTGCACAGGTGTCAGAGACATCTGACACGACTTTTTTCCGTCCACATGTTTGATCAGAGGAAATTTGGGAGACACTGCTTTGCTGCCGTGTTAGCTTATCACCAATCTGCAGCTATATCTCAACTGGCTCATCCATCATGTTATAATGCCCTTTAGATCTACGAACGCCAGTCAGATTTTGTCAGTGCGAGGCTGCAAAAACATCAATACCCATTTTCTCGCAGACATGCGAATTGAATCAAAGGTAGTTGATTTGCAGCACTTTTAGTATGTCAACCTCTTGGCATCATGCTTTCTTTGATTTACCACTGTTGCAGAAATTCATCTCAATATTAACCACCATATATATATATATATATATATATATATATATATATATTCCTTTTTTTAGGCTAATGGGGATTTTTTTTCAAACGCAGAGTTAAGGCTTGACAGATGGTGAGGCAACCCTGGGAGTTGACATTTGGATATGCCAGAATGTGACATTTTAATACAAAAATATCCTTAAAGAATAGATCAACTTATCAATAGCAGCTATAAAGATACGGCAATTTTGCTCTTTTGTCACGGGCACTCTGCAATTCATAGCCATACAAATCTGGAGCGACCAATAATAAGTTTAAAACTCAAGAGTGCATCAAAAGCTGAAATATTCTAATGAGGCAGCCTTCAGATAACATTCATTTATGCACTCATTTGATCAAATATTTTAGCTGTATGCGTCTGTATTGTGTGTGTTTTCGCTAAAAATAGGACCCCGTTTGTGAGTCTTTCTTCAGAAGCTTCACACTAAACCTGCTCCCTCTTTGCTTCAACCAACAAATCTGCCAAGCTGCACGCCAGTGATCGTGCCGCACGGGTAAAGCCCCCCCGTTCAGCTCTCTGCCTCCTTCTGGGTGTGGCAGAGTCAAACAGGAAGTCTCTTTGCACATCTGTGCATTACTCTGCAGATTTTCATAAGCTCTTTTCTGGTGAGTCACCCCGATGCAGCCGTCTCTTTGTGCCGTACCATTCCAGTAATTTCTTTTAAGAAAGACAGGCCTGAAAGAGGATTTACTGTGATTTATGTGAAACACACTGGGAGGATGTAATTGAGCTTTCTTGCAGTTTGGTACTTCCTAAATACCCTGTCACAGGGCGATTCTAAGCTGGCTTGTGGAAGGTTGTTTAGCATTACTTTAATTAGCATAGCTGCATAGTATAGCATTTGCCTCTTGCCAAACAGTAAGTAAACAGCACAATACCCTACTTAGAGTTTAAGGGAAGGACCACCATCAACACCACTTCATTTTTTAAATTTTTATTAGGAGCCAGAGAGCTGCCGTATTCAAATAAAAGCATCGTTTATGGATGCAAATAAATTCTGCTTGTGATTTTTAGGAGTTTAAATTGATTTGAACTGTACATTTGAAACACAGATTAGCTTTCTCCAGAGGAAAATCCAAATGATGGAGAAGAAATGAAAATTATTTGCATTGTAAGCAGGTATGTGTAAATTTGAACCTTAACAAGTTCATCAGCTGATCAAAGCCCTGAAACAGGACACAAAAGTGTCAAAGAAGGTCTCAGTAGTGAATCGTGCCACAGTTCTTTTTGATCACTTCAAGAATCCCTTCAGGCGTGCTTGATGCAAGTGTCTCCAGTAGGCTGGTACGAATGTTGCTCCATGTTGTGGAGTCTGGATTTGTGTTTTCCTTCCCGTCTATTCTCAAACGTTTTAAACGGGATTTAGATAAAAAAAAGAATGTGAGTTTATTTGAGTTTCAGTCGTCAGCATCAGTGAGGGCCTTTATTTGGGTGAAAGATCTACCTGTGTCCTCACAAGCAGCCTGTTGGATGAGCTGCTGTGGGGGCCGGTGAAGATTTTAGTAAATCACTCAATGGTTATGCTGTTATTTATTAAATTTTTTTATTTATTTATATTTTTTGCATTTTGAGCCTCAAGGATGTTAACATGAGGGCTCTTTGTGTACACACACTAGAAAATACTTTGGCGTGAGGACACCGTTAGACCTCATCTAGGTCAGTGTAGCGTTGATTATTGACTATATTTATTAAAACGATCAATAAGATGGTATAATTCCATATAAATATAAAATAGCAACCTGATTGATCTTTGAATGCTTAATCAGAATATTCTAGTTTTCTTTACTTATTCAAGGACCATAAAAACACTTCATGTTAATTCAGACACAGTCAGGTATATAGTTTATAAAAATGAATTTATTACTTTTCCCTAAACTAATGATTATACATGACTAGATATGAATAATGAAATGTGATGTGATGGATAGGAAGTGATATGAGGTGAGGTGTGAAATGCTGGAATGGAAGCTAGAAGTTTTAGCAAAACCTTTCTTAAGCGTCAGAGAGAATTTGTGAAGTCTGGGTTGTAAAATAATATGGCTGTATGTTTGGGAATCTAGAGATTTGTTTATAAAAACCATCCGACGTAATCTGTGTCGAATCTACGCACCCTTATGTGGAGATGCTCGTGCGATCCAGGGGGTCGAGAGGTCGTGTTGGTCACTGCCGGTGGAGTGGACCTCTCGGTATCAGGAACCCGTAGATTAGCTCCGATAGGACCCGTCTAGTCTGAGATATCGCCAGGTGATGACAGGAAGCTGGAATGCTTGTTTGCGTTTGTCTGTTTGTTCGGCTCTTAGAAGATCCGCTTGTCTGATGTCACGCGTAGCGTTGCAGAGCACCTTTGACCAGAGGTCAAAAGATAGGATGGCTTCAAAATCGCTTCTTCCCCGATTTGGCCGAATCAGGAGTCCGCTGAAAACTGAATTAATCGGGAAGTGAATGTAATCCTTAATAACTATCTTATTACAGTGTGTATGAGTATATTGATAGATTAACTTTTGTTAAATCACACGTATTGATCTGGTGTAGATCTGAAATGGATCATTGCAGGAGCAATATTCATTTTAAACCCATCACTGATGTAAGCGCAGCTTATTCAAACATTTGATTTAAACTTCTTGTTCATTCCACGCATATGATTATTTCAACTTATGAGCTTTAAGGTTATTTATAATTCAAGATGACTTTTACTCAGAGTGAAAATGCAGGAGTCTACATTAGACTTTGGATGAGAATGTTGTGGCTTCTTGTTCGGTAACAAGAACTGGCAGAACTTTCTGGATTTTGAGGCCGGACAGATGGTGGGTTTATGTCTGCAAATGAAAGGTTACTTTCTGGTTGTTTGTTGGTGAAAATTTGACATCAGTATGACCTGCGTATTATATTGTGACAAGCTGGCTCCACTAGTTACACAAGAACACGTAGAACTTCCCAAATTAGCATATTGAAACTTCAATACAATCTCTTTCTTCCAGAAACAGTTCTTCATTTTTGCATAAATGATTGGTTTTACGGGAAAGGGCCAAAAAGTAACGGTGTGATATGTAAGAATGAAGTAAGATTGACATCCTGTGGTCAAATGTGGGTACTGCAGCCCTTTTTTTTAAGCAAAACGTTACTTTCTCACTGCCGTTTCATGAGTTTCCTAGCTTTTACCACTACAGACCAGCACCAGAAGAGTCTAGATGACAAGCAAAGACAAGTCATACACAGTAAGTTGATATGTAGATAAATACATTAACTTATTTGGTGTTGGCACCATTGGGTGTTTTGTGGTAGGAACCATTTACTACACTTATTATGGTAATATTTCTTTGGCATTGGAGGAAGTGTGGTGGTTTGTCATCTTGCTGTTAGCCGACCATTATAGTTCTTCACCTGATTTTAGAGTAAAACAAAATGATGTTGTGGCTTCTTAGGGGTACAAGAAATAACTTCTGGGTTGCTTCTGTTTACTGGTTTTGGTTCTTCAAACAACTCTGGAGCTTTTTGCTCCGTGTCAAATCCCAAATGTTAGCGCTGTAGCATTAGCTCAGCGGAGTCTCTGCAAACTGTCTCAGATTTTAAACGGAAACTACTTCCCTCCTTTGTTTTTTTTTGAAAGGAGGAAAAGTGACAAGCCCCTCAGCCAGCCAAAAATAAAAAAGCCAAATTAGCTTAAAATCTTCATTAGACTGTTTTGTTATTTCACTTATAGAATTCTTACAAATTGTTCCTTTATTGGTGTGGTCCTTTATTTCACATAAAAGTGGTTGGTTAATGCATAAGAAAAATAACTGGTTTACTGGATCAGGACTTATTTTTTTATTATACATATGCACTGCGTCATGGGATGCACTGGACCAGTTCAGTCCACTTTCGTACCATTTAGGTTTATTTTTTTCCGTTAAATAATTAACTTTTATTTGCATGGTTTAGGTGCAGCAGATAAAAGTTCCTAGGTGAGTTTCCACCCGGACGCTATATTGAGTGACGCATGATGGCTGCATGCACCCAATCTCCGTTTAAAAAATGTGATCTGCAAATTCTGATCAACGCCTTTCAGAGCGGATCAAACCGGCTGGCAGTCGATGGAGCCTGTAGAGACGCTGAACGGAGCGTTGCTTCACCCCCTCCCTCCCTTCTCTCATACTGCAGGCACGCAGCGGCAAAAATGTAAACAAACACGTCTGCTGAACTTTT